GTCCAAAATTAGTGAGGTCCGAATTTTAATGCTCTCACACCCTAGGTTTGTCACCAAGCAGTCAGTCAAAACGAATCTATACATACATATGTGCAATAGGGTGGTCCAAAATTAGTGAGGTCCGAGTTTTAATGCTCTCACACCCTAGGTTTGTTGAATATCGAAAAAGATATACCCCTATTTTTTATTTAGAAATAAATCAAAAAATATTTAGAGGTTGCTCAAAGTTCACCATGTATTTTATATGAGAAAAACACTTTTCGTAGAAATGGTATCGAATTCTTAAAAATTAATATTTTTCGTTCGGAAACCTCTGTTTCTCTGCAGAAGATTCCCAACAATAATACCCAATTGTTTATTTATCGCTTATGGGTCCGCCGAAAACCCCCAAAAGCCCTGAGAAATGCAATGGGGGGACCAATAAAATATCGTTAGTATTAAAAAACGAATAAATAAACAATTGGGTATTACTATTGAAAGTCTTCTATTTTTTCGGTATAGAACAATCCTAAGGGGTGCGAGCATAAAAATTCCGACTTTACTTTTTCACACGCATTTTTGGACCATATTTAGGAATTCAAGCTCTAACACTTTGCGATATAATTAAAAGACAATTATGAGTAAAGCCGAAGGTACATAATTTTATTTGCTGCGGCGTAGCGTTGATCCGTTGACGACGTTGAAAAATTTGCTGTTACACACATAGTTGCCAGCTTAATTTAGTGCTTTTTGAAAATTAAAACGCCCAAAAAAATGGTTTAGTGCCTAGTGCCCTTTTTAGTGCTTTTTTCTGCACTAAAATTTCTGACTTTACAAGAATTTAGAAATTTAAATGCACTAAAATGCAAACCATGATTGATAAAAAGATTAAGTTACAAACCCACGTTCTTGCGTTCTTGTTAAATTGCATTCGCGTAGAAAATGCTAGCACGCAGATAAGTTAAGTATTTATTTTTTTATTGATTGATTACACAGTTCGAAAACTTTTAACTTTTTCTGCCACCTGAGTTCATCGGTTTTTGTTGATTTTTCGGTGCTGAATCCAAATCTGGTTGCAGAATTTCTCTACCACGTCAGAATTTTGAGATATCCTAACCTCTAACTGTAAAAACACGGTTTATTATAAAGCAAAAAATTTTTTCGCTTAGGGTATCATTAAGTATTACTCTTCCCCTTCAAAATTCAATTTCGTTTGTTGCAATTCGATTGTTCTTTCTCCATATGTACCAGTTTTAATGTGCAGTACTTCGGTATTACTTCGCAAGCATGAATGTGTATTTATTTATACATGTAAATATTGTTTATTACCTCCCTTTTATTAGCTCGGGATGTAACTATGTAATATTGATGCGCCTAAAAGATGCAGCGATTTCTATTCTCAAGTTACATACCTGCTGACAGTACGAATGGAAATTATAATAGCGTGGTGTTAGTTTTTAAACTATAATTTTATTTTTTACTTCTGTTTACCACAAACTGTTATTAAAAAAAGTATCCTTTGATTAAAAAAAAATTAGTGCTTTTAGTGCGGTAAAACGCTCTTTTTTCCAAGGTTTGGTGCTGTTTGAAACTCAAAAGATGGCAACACTGGTTACACACCTTGCGTCGTGCCGCTCATTGTTTTGTAAACAAAAAACAGCTGATATTTAAGCATATCCACAAATGTAATTTCAAATGTCAACGCATGAACGCAAAGAAAAGTAGCGAATTGGTTTACTTTCGGCGGCAACTGCGTTAACGCATTCGTAACGGCGTCGTCTGTAACACCTGTCATACAAACACACGTGTTCAATTTTATTTGACATTGACGGCGTGACGCATTTGCCGGCGAACGCATGTTGTGTACCTTCGCTTTAATACTCGTACAATAAATATGTACAAGTATACATGTTTGCCATTTGTTCTATTTCTTTCCTTCAATAGGTTTGCCAGCCCATTTTGGCCGACGGCAGTAGTTGCAACAATGCATTGAATGTAGGACGCTATGTGGAGGATTTTACTTGCTCTGGAAGTGCCACTCCACGTATGCTCAAGCATATGCGTCTTTCCTTCCCCAGTGCGCATGCCAGCTTCGCGTGCTTCACTATGATTTACATGGCGGTATAATTAAAAGCTTTATGTTCAATGGAATTACTAATATTTTAAAATGTAATTATGTATATATGTATTCTTGTTCGCTCTTTTTTTGCAATGCTGCAGATATATTTGCAGAAGCGCATGAGTTGGGAACGTTGCAAGATGGTTAAACATTTCATGCAATTTCTGCTCGTTATGTTCGCATGGTACACTAGTTTGACACGTGTTTCCGATTACCAGCACCATACGACGGACGTATTAGCTGGTTCGACGATCGGTGCTTTCTATGCGGTTCTCATGGTAAGTTCATGCATGTTTACATATGTATTTACATGCATAGTCGTACAAACACACGATTGAGAGAAATAGAGATTGCGCCAATCGCGGTACCGCTAATCCGCTCTTTGTGATTTTGACAGAATCAGCTGTGTGCGTGACGTCATCTTGGTGCAATTGTTGATTGTGAGCATACGAAAAAACCAATTATTGAAACATTTCAAAGCAAAAGGAAGTGTGCAGTGGCAAAGTGTAATAGTGAAAACAAAAGGAATGCGTGCGATATAAGTTTTTTTTTTCGTTCCCTACGGACGAAAACCTGGCGAAAAAGTGGAAGCAGTTCTGCCGGCGAGGAAATGCATTAAACACCAAATCGAGCTTTGTGCTATGTGTATGAACTATGAGCTTCTACATGGAATCATGTTGGCCTTTCCTTGGTGAATTGTAGTAGGTACATTTCCATGGTGAATGTAGACAGTTGCTGGTTTAGTTTTCTGGCAATGGAAAAAGCAGTTTCTACAGTAAGTAGATACAGGAACTCCACTACCTACTTATTTTTGTTAGTACCTGATTCTTTTTGGTGCTGGTATGAAGAAATGCACCAAGGTCGCCAGGCGCTAATTCAAGCGGCATCTTACCGCGCTGTTACGTACCTAATACAAAACAGTGCCCAAATTATTATACACTTAAAAGTTCAGCTTAAATTATGTTTTACTTACATAAAATATTTATGTCCAAAGAAGCCACACTCATGTATCCTCTCGGAAATGGTACAAAAGTCATCAAATAAAAGCTGTGGAGTCAACAGCTGTGGAGTTTATGGTGGCTGGCTACCGTCCACAAATATAAATATGCACTCTGCATGGCTTTTTACAATGGCGAGTCCAAAAATTCACTTTGGTGCACACCTTCCTTTTGGTCTACATGAAATTGCAAACACTGTTAATACATCCATTTTTTCATGTGCTAAAAATCGTACTTACCTAAAGGGCTACATGTCCAAAATTATTTCTACGTGTCCTAATTAATCAATCTTTGTATATTTTTTGATTCCTGCAAAATTGGGCCATGTAATATTAAAATTAACACATTTTTCTGCATTGTTTACATATTTTTATATGCGTTTTGGCATTTCTCACTCGCAATTGCACCAAGATGACCTCACGCAAAAATTACGCTCAAAAATCCTCTCTCATTGGCGTAATCTTGTATTCTATCCTTCTTGGTACAAACATGGGTTTGTAAATAAAACGCTATTGTCTACAACCTGTATTTCTGATAAATTTTGTTAATTTTTTACAGACGCGGACAATGTGGTGATCAGTTGTCCAAGTATTTGCAACTAATGTACCAAACGCCGTAGGCTATGGAACTTTCAAAAAGCTGTTTATGTGCAAATTTATATTTTGCAAGTGTGAAATAATAACCACCATTAATTTTGAATTGTAATAGAATACAGTTAATCGAATAAATAAATGTTTTAATTACTTTACGTGATGGTATTGTAACCGCAAAACTCATTGTTCACCAGTGCTCGTTTTGAACTAATGATTTTGGATGGTAAGAAATATAGCTGCCGGAAATAAAAGGAAGCGACCAGTACCCATTTAATTTCTAGACATTTCTTTGACAAGCAGTTTCGTGTGTAAAGTAGTTTGCTGGGTATCAAGGAGCTTAGCAATTCATCGTTCAACAGTCTCATCGTTTATCATTTTATATACATATTTCGTTACTCATAATACAAGCGAATTGGTTATTAGATCTAACGTAGAGTAGTTATCGCGGTAGCCCCGAAAGTTTTCTCATTTTTTGTTCGACATTGTTCCCATTTCTGCACCGCATAGAAAGATGGACGCGATAAGAGAATTGTAGAGCATAGGTCTTTTTCGTTTAGAAGGAGTTATATTTCTGTTGTTCAATTCCCTACCAAGCCCCTAATAAAACTTGTTGGCAAGGGGTTTTCTTTGTTTGATGTCCAGGTTTATATTATTGGCGGTGCTTATGCTATACTTTAAATAAATGAAGTTATTTTATATATATTACGCACAAAAAAGGTCAGCGAAAACAACGTCGATTTCCACTTTGGTCGAGTTCAACATAGCACTACAGTCGCGTTTCCAGTGGCGGATAGAGGAAATCTTGTCATTATGGTAAGCACTATGTCGTTACCTAGGGTGACCAGACCAGATAAATCAGGACTATCAGGACACGCCCTTATTTCAGGGTCGAATTAAAGTGTCCTGACTAGGGATATGCTGGGTTTCCGGTAGATATCCGGAATCCGGCAGTTTTTCTGTTATCCGACTATCCGGCCGGATTTCCGGATTTAAATTATGGAAGATTCAATTTAAAAATCTAGTTCAGACTTTTTTTTTGTATTTTTATAATCCAATTTAATGTTAGATACCCTTAGTAATTAAAGTCAAAAATTTCAAGGCTGCAATTTAGTTTGGCATCCCCGGAGTTCCTCATTAAGGTAGCTATGGAACGGTAGAGGGAGTTCTCCTGATTGCAAATATATATACTTTTAGCCGCAGCAGGCTTATAGTTTTTAAGTTATTTGTTGTTAAAGTTTGTAAATTGAACTAACCTCCCGGCGCTATTTCACACAATAAACACTATATTTATGTACACACCTCGGCAAAATAGTTGCATTAAAACCCCGGCCTGAGATTTCCACTTTAATATACAATTCTTAATTAATTAATTAAGTTAAACGCGTTTATAAATGTCTTCACAAACGATTGCACATTTCACAAACAAGCAGAAATAACAATGGCTGACAGTAACACAAAATGTATGCTACCATACGTTAAAAAAAATAATATTTACTGGTGTTATTGTAGTTCAAAGTACACAAATGTAGAAAACGTACATCGATAATTTGATAAATAATGAAAATTTTTAATTAAAAATTTTCGCCTGCCGCGCTTTCTCTATAAAAATCAATACTTCGATAAATAATGAAAATTTTTAATAAAAAATCGCGCGATTTTTTATAAAACTTTTCGACTGCGGGGCTTTTTCCATAAAAATCAATACTTCGATAAATAATAAAAATTTGTAATAAAAAATCGCGCTATTTTTTATTACAAATTTTCGCCTGCGGCGCTTTTTCCATAAAAATCAATACTTCGATAAATAATGAAAATTTTTAATAAAAAATCGCACGATTTTTTATTAAAACTTTTAGCCTGCGGCGCTTGTCATTTTTTTAATATATTGGGGGTGTTTAACCCCATATCCTCCTTTACTACTAATTCAACGCTGAGCAGGAAAATGGGTACGATAAAAACTATTCTCTGTTATTGTTATTTTCTTAGAAGTGGCAGCACTCTTCTTATGTCAGTGGAAACCATGGTTGAATCAACAGTTCTATATTCACAATGTGCGTATACATATATAAGTGCGTGATAATTATAAAAACTTACTTAATTTACTAAAAATACATCATAAATGTTAAAAATATGGTTACATTTCATTGTGCGGTGTTTTAATGCAACTATTTTGCCGAAGTGTGTACATAAATATAGTGTTTATTGTGTGAAATAGCGCCGAGAGGTTAGTTCAATTTACAAACTTTAACAACAAATAACTTAAAAACTGTAAGCCTCCTGCGGCTAAAAGTATATATATTTGCAATCAGGAGAACCAAGCGATTTTGGCCGAGTTTAGCAAAGCACACCAGTCGTTTCTCTTCTGTGCCAACTGACGCCAATTGGAACCGCCAGGTGAAGGCAAGTCCTTCTCCACCTGATCTTTCCATCGCAGTGGGGGCCTCCCTCTTCCTCTGCTACCACCAGCGCCTTCCGAGTTGATAACTTTCAGAGCTGGTGCGTCAGTGTCCATTCGAACGACATGGCCAAGCCAGCGGAGCCGCTGTGTTTTAATTCGCTACATTATGTTCATGTCGTTGTAAAGCTCATACAGCTCATCGTTCCATTGTCTGCGGTACTCGCCGTCGCCACCGCGTAAACGCCCGTAAATCTTTCTCTCGAATACTACAAGAGCCGCCTCATCGGTAGGGATGGCAAAATCGACTTCGACTTTTGACCAAAATCGACTTTTTACTCCTCAAATTCGAATTTAAGTGATCGACTTTCAGTTTATAGAAGTCGACTGAAGTCGACTTTTCACCTTCGACTCTCGACTTTTTTTTATTTATTTGCAGTAGCGTCTCTTACATTAAAACTGATATTCTAACAAGGGAGCGGAGTGCTCGTATTTAAAAAAAAATGCCAATAAACTTAATGTGATAAGTGTGGTAGAGATATGAATTTTAATGACAGTACAACAACATTGTTAAATTATTTAAGAGCAGTGCATAAATTTATTACGCAGCATTTTTACTGAATTTAAAATGCAACATTTAGCACTTTCGAACATGTATTTCGAACAGCGTTCATGCTATCGCATTTAGCAAATGTACATCTACGCGAGTTCGGAATCGTATGCTTTAGACAAACAGCCGTGTTCCAGTCGCTTATTCAGATCCGTATCCATCACGATCAATTCGCGCGATTTAACGATGAGCTGTATGAGCTTTACAACGATATAGACATAGTGCAGCGAATTAAAATTCAGCGGCTCCGCTGGCTTGGCCATGTCGTTCGGATGGACAGAAACGCTCCTGCTCTGAAAATATTCAACGCGGGCCGCGATGCTGGGAACAGAGGAAGAGGAAGGCCTCCTCTGCGTTGGAAAGACCAGGTGGAGAAGGACTTGGCTTCACTTGGCATTTTCAATTGGCGTCAGTTAGCACAGAAGAGAAATGACTGGCGTGCTGTTTTGGACTCGGCCAAAATCGCTTAGGCGGTTACAGCGCCAAATAAGAAGAAGAAGAAGATAGCATGAACGCTATTCGAAAATACATGTTCGAAAGTGCTAAATGTTGCATTTTAAATCCAGTAAAAATGCTGCGTAATAAATTTATGCACTGCTCTTAAATGATTTAACAATGTTGTTGTACTGTCATTAAAATTCATATCTCTACCACACTTTTCACATTAGGTTTATTGGCAATTTTTTTTTAAATACGAGCACTCCGCTCCCTTGTTAGAATATCAGTTTTAATTTAAGAGACGCCACTGCAAATAAATCAAAAAAAGTCGAGAGTCGAAGGTGAAAAGTCGACTTCAGTCGACTTCTATAAACTGAAAGTCGTTCACTTAAATTCGAATTTGAGGAGTAAAAAGTCGATTTCGGTCAAAAGTCGAAGTCGATTTTGCCATCCCTACCGAAGGGGCGGCTCTTGTAGTATTCGAGAGAAAGATTTTGCGGAAGATTTACGGGCGTTTACGCGTTGGCGACGGCGAGTAGCGCAGACGATGGAACGATGAGCTGTATGAGCTTTATAACGACATGAACATAATGTAGCGAATTAAAATACAGCGGCTCCGCTGGCTTGGCCATGTCGTTCGAATGGACACTGACGCACCAGCTCTAAAAGTATTCAACTCGGAAGGCGCTGGTGGTAGCAGAGGAAGAGGGAGGCCCCCACTGCGATGGAAAGATCAGGTGGAGAAGGACTTGCCTTCACTTGGCGGTTCCAACTGGCGTCAGTTGGCACAGAAGAGAAACGACTGGTGTGCTTTGCTAAACTCGGCCAAAATCGCTTAGGCGGTTACAGCGCCATAGAAGAAGAAAGTATTTGAAGAAAGTTCAAGATTAATTCTAAAGAGCACTACGCTCCGCTCAACACCGAGTAATTACGCCAACTGCCTTCTTCAGTGTAGCCGCGCCGTCTCAAGAAAATTTATCACCGACGTAGCCAAAAATGTATTTATATGTATCCAATTTTCTTTTTTTACTAATCCATCTCATAATTTGTATAAAAACCAAACATCTTAAAGAAAAAATAATAATTTAACCCATCCTAAGGACCTGGAATACATGTATATATATATTTACTTTTCATATCAAACATTTGTAATTTAAATTTATAAATAACATTTTTTGTGCATAAGTATTTTGCAAAGTAAGTATAATAAATAATAATTAATATGTAACATTTGTACCTGTACACTCTAAAAAGTGCATGTAAAACTACTACTGAAAAGTATCTATTTTTCAACAAGAATCTGTATAAATATACGTATAAGATTTTCAGGATTGATGAACTTGAGATGCACCTGAAATGATTAAAATTGCAAAAATTTTTCAACTAAAAATACATTTTCTACTAATAAAAAGCATTAAGGGCTCACATTTACTCTATTTTAAACATTTTATGTTTACGGTGTTCAAATTTGCACACATTAAAAGAGGAAACTGGTTACCTCTCTTAAATGCGCAAATAAACAAACAATTTTAGAGTGTATTTAAAGACTTTTCAGTAAAATTCATACAAATTTACTTAAATAAATAAAATTTAGTTTTTTAAACAGTGTATTTAACCTACATTGAGATATTCTTTCTTTTTAAACTAACCAATGAAAATATGTGATATGAAAGAGATTACTTTAGAAAGAGTATCAATTTATGTAATGTAGAACGATTTTCCGTCATCCCTTGTCAAATGTGGTTTGGAGACAAACCGGTTTCGGCGTTGTGCCATCTTCAGTGTCATTTTTCGTTCGAGAACGAGATGGCACAACGCCGAAACCGGTTTGTCTCCAAACCAAATTTGACAAGGGATGACGGAAAATCGTTCCACATTACATCACACTCCTACCCTGTCGGAAACACCAACAACGAAAATGAGAGTATCAATTTACTTCATCCTTTTTAGCTAATTAAAACAACTGCACTTATACCTATTTTGGAGAGATCTCTTCATATGTTCATTGCTTCGTTCATAAAATATAAAATGCTTTAATTTCACGCATAAGTAGTAATTTTAATACATTTAGAAAACGTAATGCTTTTTACCATCTTTAATAAAAATCGATTTTTGAACGCAAATACTTTATAGAAACTATAAAATTTTGGCCTATTTAAAAAAGTATCCACATTTATAATGATCATAAATATAAGTATCTCGCAAAAATTCGTCTAAAAATTGGATCTATTTAGATCCAAACGGCATCCCTTCTTCCGCACATTCAACTTATCGGGTTGCCAATTACCATTCGTTAATGTTGCATTTTACTGTCGCTCACGAGTGTTGCGCAGAATTGCATTTTATTGTATTTTATTTGTTTATACTGGCCGTGAAGTATCTCTGCACACCACCTTCCTCAGTGAACCCAAAAGGTGTGTCTAGTGCATCGGGTAGCATTTATGTTGAAAATAGAAATAGATTTTTGCCCGAAAATTCGGAAATTCTTCTTTTCATAATTAAATATATTGAAAATGGGAAAATTTTAGTTTGGCATCCCCCGCGTAAAAAAAAGATGGCTATGGGGGGGGTAGGGGGAGTTCTCCTGATTGCAAATATATATACTTTTAGCCGCAGGAGGCTTACAGTTTTTAAGTTATTTGTTGTTAAAGTTTGTAAATTGAACTAACCTCTCGGCGCTATTTCACACAATAAACACTATATTTATGTACACACTTCGGCAAAATAGTGGCATTAAAACCCCGCACAATGAAATGTAAACATATTTTTTACATTTATGATGTATTTTTAGTAAATTAAGTAAGTTTTTATAATTATCACGCATTTATATATGTATACGCACATTGTGAATACAGAACTGTTGATTCAACCATGGTTTCACACTGACATTAGAAGAGTGCTGCCACATCTAAGAAAATAACAATAACAGAGAATAATTTTTATCGTACCCATTTTCCTGCTCAGCGTTGAATTAGTAGTAAAGGGGATATGGGGTTAAACACCCCCAATATATTAAAAAAATGACAAGCGCCGCAGGCTAAAATTTTTAATAAAAAATCGCGCGATTTTTTATTAAAAATTTTCATTATTTATCGAAGTATTGATTTTTTGGGAAAAAGCGCCGCAGGCGAAAATTTGTAATAAAAAATAGCGCGATTTTTTATTACAAATTTTTATTATTTATCGAAGTATTGATTTTTATGGAAAAAGCCCCGCAGGCGAAAAGTTTTATAAAAAATCGCGCGATTTTTTATTAAAAATTTTCATTATTTATCGAAGTATTGGGTTTTATAGAAAAAGCGCGGCAGGCGAAAATTTTTAATAAAAAATCTCGCGATTTTTTATTACAAATTTTCATTATTTATCAAATTATCGATGTACGTTTTCTACATTTGTAAACTTTGAACTACAATAACACCAGTAAATATTATTTCCACCCGAAAAAAATTATACCGTTATGATCAGGAGTAAGACCCCGTATTGTACACTTATACTCCCTAATTATACGCACTTATTTGTGGTGTATTTTTTTTAACGTATGGTAGCATACATTTTGTGTTACTGTCAGCCATTGTTATTTCTGCTTGTTTGTGAAATGTGCAATCGTTTGTGAAGACATTTATAAACGCGTTTTACTTAATTAATTAATTAAGAATTGTATATTAAAGTGGAAATCTCAGGCCGGGGTTTTAATGCAACTATTTTGCCGAGGTGTGTACATAAATATAGTGTTTATTGTGTGAAATAGCGCCGGGAGGTTAGTTCAATTTACAAACTTTAACAACAAATAACTTAAAAACTATAAGCCTGCTGCGGCTAAAAGTATATATATTTGCAATCAGGAGAACTCCCTCTACCGTTCCATAGCTACCTTAATGCGGAACTCCGGGGATGCCAAACTAAATTGCAGCCTTGAAAATTTTTACTTTAATTACTAAGGGTATCTAACATTAAATTGGATTATAAAAATACAAAAAAAAAAAGTCTGAACTAGATTTTTAAATTGAATCTTCCATAATTTAAATCCGGAAATCCGGCCGGATTTTAGCTAGTATCCGGCCGGATAGTCGGATAACAGAAAAACTGAAAAACCCTGAAATAAGGGCGTGTCCTGATATATCTGGTCTGGTCACCCTAGGTAACGACATAGTGCTTACCATAATGACAAGATTTCCTCTATCCGCCACTGGAAACGCGACTGTAGTGCTATGTTGAACTCGACCAAAGTGGAAATCGACGTTGTTTTCGCTGACCTTTTTTGCGCGTAATATATATAAAATAACTTTATTTATTTAGAGTATAGCATAAGCACCGCCAATAATATAAACCTGGACATCAAACAAAGAAAACCCCTTGCCAACAAGTTTTATTAGGGGCTTGGTAGGGAATTGAACAACAGAAATATAACTCTTTCTAAACGAAAAAGACCTATGCTCTACAAACCTCTTATCGCGTCCATCTTTCTATGCGGTGCAGAAATGGGAACAATGTCGAACAAAAAATGAAAAAACTTTCGGGGCTACCGCGATAACTACTCTACGTAAGATCTAACAACCAATTCGCTTATATTATGAGTAACGAAATATGTATATAAAATGATAAACGATGAGACTGTTGAACACTTTTTGTACATCTGGGCCTATTTTAGAATTAGCTACGAAGTTTGGAGCTCAAGTCTTGAACGATGAATTGCTAAGCTCCTTGATACCCAGCAAACTACTTCATACATGAAACTGCTTGTCAAAGAAATGTCTAGAAATTAAATAGGTACTGGTCGCTTCATTTTATTTCCGGCAGCTTTATTTTTTACCATCCAAGATCATTAGTTCAAAACGAGCACTGGTGAACAATGAGTTTTGCGGTTACAAGACCATCACGTAAAGTAATTAAAACATTTATTTATTCGATTAACTGTATTCTATTACAATTCAAAATTAATGGTGGTTATTATTTCACACTTGCAAAATATAAATTTGCACATAAACAGCTTTTTGAAAGTTCCATAGCCTACGGCGTTTGGTACATTAGTTGCAAATACTTGGACAACTGATCACCACATTGTGCGCGTCTGTAAAAAATTAACAAAATTTATCAGAAATACAGGTAGACAATAGCGTTTTATTTACAAACCCATGTTTGTACCAAGAAGGATAGAATACAAGATTACGCCAATGAGAGAGGATTTTTGAGCGTAATTTTTGCGTGACGTCATCTTGGTGCAATTGCGAGTGAGAAATGCCAAAACGCATATAAAAATATGTAAATAATGCAGAAAAATGTGTTAATTTTAATATTACATGGCCAAATTTTGCAGGAATCAAAAAATATACAAAGATTGATTAATTAGGAACACGTAGAAATAATTTTGGACATGTAGCCCTTTAGGAAAGTACGATTTTTAGCACATGAAAAAATGGATGTATTAAAAGTGTTTGCAATTTCATGTAGACCAAAAGGAAGGTGTGCACCAAAGTGAATTTTTGGAATCGCCATTGTAAAAAGCCATGCAGAGTGAATATTTATATTTGTGGACGGTAGCCAGCCACCATAAACTCCACAGCTGTTGACTCCACAGCTTTTATTTGATGACTTTTGTACCATTTCCGAGAGGATACATGAGTGTGGCTTCTTTGGAAATAAATATTCTATGTAAGTAAAACATAATTTAAGCTGAACTTTTAAGTGTATAATAATTTGGGCACTGTTTTGTATTAGATACGTAACAGCGCGGTAAGATGCCGCTTGAATTAGCGCCTGGCGACCTTGGTGCATTTCTTCATACCAGCACCAAAAAGAATCAGGTACTAACAAAAATAAGTAGGTAGTGGAGTTCCTGTATCTACTTACTGTAGAAACTGCTTTTGCCATTGCCAGAAAACTAAACCAGCAACTGTCTACATTCACCATGGAAATGTACCTACTACAATTCACCAAGGAAAGGCCAACATGATTCCATGTAGAAGCTCATAGTTCATACACATAGCACAAAGCTCGATTTGGTGTTTAATGCATTTCCTCGCCGGCAGAACTGCTTCCACTTTTTCGCCAGGTTTTCGTCCGTAGGGAACGAAAAAAAAAACTTATATCGCACGCATTCCTTTTGTTTTCACTATTACACTTTGCCACTGCACACTTCCTTTTGCTTTGAAATGTTTCAATAATTGGTTTTTTCGTATGCTCACAATCAACAATTGCACCAAGATGACGTCACGCACACAGCTGATTCTGTCAAAATCACAAAGAGCGGATTAGCGGTACCGCGATTGGCGCAATCTCTATTTCTCTCAATCGTGTGTTTGTACGACTATGCATGTAAATACATATGTAAACATGCATGAACTTACCATGAGAACCGCATAGAAAGCACCGATCGTCGAACCAGCTAATACGTCCGTCGTATGGTGCTGGTAATCGGAAACACGTGTCAAACTAGTGTACCATGCGAACATAACGAGCAGAAATTGCATGAAATGTTTAACCATCTTGCAACGTTCCCAACTCATGCGCTTCTGCAAATATATCTGCAGCATTGCAAAAAAAGAGCGAACAAGAATACATATATACATAATTACATTTTAAAATATTAGTAATTCCATTGAACATAAAGCTTTTAATTATACCGCCATGTAAATCATAGTGAAGCACGCGAAGCTGGCATGCGCACTGGGGAAGGAAAGACGCATATGCTTGAGCATACGTGGAGTGGCACTTCCAGAGCAAGTAAAATCCTCCACATAGCGTCCTACATTCAATGCATTGTTGCAACTACTGCCGTCGGCCAAAATGGGCTGGCAAACCTATTGAAGGAAAGAAATAGAACAAATGGCAAACATGTATACTTGTACATATTTATTGTACGAGTATTAAAGCGAAGGTACACAACATGCGTTCGCCGGCAAATGCGTCACGCCGTCAATGTCAAATAAAATTGAACACGTGTGTTTGTATGACAGGTGTTACAGACGACGCCGTTACGAATGCGTTAACGCAGTTGCCGCCGAAAGTAAACCAATTCGCTACTTTTCTTTGCGTTCATGCGTTGACATTTGAAATTACATTTGTGGATATGCTTAAATATCAGCTGTTTTTTGTTTACAAAACAATGAGCGGCACGACGCAAGGTGTGTAACCAGTGTTGCCATCTTTTGAGTTTCAAACAGCACCAAACCTTGGAAAAAAGAGCGTTTTACCGCACTAAAAGCACTAATTTTTTTTTAATCAAAGGATACTTTTTTTAATAACAGTTTGTGGTAAACAGAAGTAAAAAATAAAATTATAGTTTAAAAAACTAACCTCCCTATTATAATTGCCATTCGTACTGTCATCACGTATGTATGTAACTTGAGAATAGAAATCGCTGCATCTTTTAGGCGCATCAATATTACATAGTTACATCCCGAGCTAATAAAAGGAAGGTAAAAAGGGAGGTAATAAACAATATTTACATGTATAAATAAATACACATTCATGCTTGCGAAGTAATACCGAAGTACTGCACATTAAAACTGGTACATATGGAGAAAGAACAATCGAATTGCAACAAACGAAATTGAATTTTGAAGGGGAAGAGTAATACTTAATGATACCCTAAGCGAAAAAATTTTTTGCTTTATAATAAACCGTGTTTTTACAGTTAGAGGTTAGGATATCTCAAAATTCTGACGTGGTAGAGAAATTCTGCAACCAGATTTGGATTCAGCACCGAAAAATCAACAAAAACCGATGAACTCAGGTGGCAGAAAAAGTTAAAAGTTTTCGAACTGTGTAATCAATCAATAAAAAAATAAATACTTAACTTATCTGCGTGCTAGCATTTTCTACGCGAATGCAATTTAACAAGAACGCAAGAACGTGGGTTTGTAACTTAATCTTTTTATCAATCATGGTTTGCATTTTAGTGCATTTAAATTTGTAAATTCTTGTAAAGTCAGAAATTTTAGTGCAGAAAAAAGCACTAAAAAGGGCCCTAGGCACTAAACCATTTTTTTGGGCGTTTTAATTTTCAAAAAGCACTAAATTAAGCTGGCAACTATGTGTGTAACAGCAAATTTTTCAACGTCGTCAACGGATCAACGCTACGCCGCAGCAAATAAAATTATGTACCTTCGGCTTTACTCATAATTGTCTTTTAATTATATCGCAAAGTGTTAGAGCTTGAATTCCTAAATATGGTCCAAAAATGCGTGTGAAAAAGTAAAGTCGGAATTTTTATGCTCGCACCCCTTAGGATTGTTCTATACCGAAAAAATAGAAGACTTTCAATAGTAATACCCAATTGTTTATTTATTCGTTTTTTAATACTAACGATATTTTATTGGTCCCCCCATTGCATTTCTCAGGGCTTTTGGGGGTTTTCGGCGGACCCATAAGCGATAAATAAACAATTGGGTATTAATTGTTGGGAGTCTCTCTGACAAGAAACAGAGTTCCGAAAAAATATTATTTTAAAGAATTCGATACTCATTTCTACGAAAAGTGTTTTTCCCATATAAAATACATGGTGAACTTTGAGCAA